TAGTCCTGCCAACAGAATGTTTTCTCAAGCTTTTGAATTTTTGCCAATTTGTAGGAGGGATAAATAGTTTCTCTGTAGTTTTAATTTGCAACTCTATTAGGAGTAAAGTATAACGTATTTTCCTATGTACAGACCCTTAAGATCTTTACTGTGAATTGTCTGTTGATATGCTTTGCCCATCTCAATGTTTAACTTCTTTACATGTGAGAGATATTACCTGTTTACCCATGATGTGTGTGGAAATAATTTCCTCCAATTTGTCATGTCTCTTTTTATTGTGGTAAAATTATACAAAACATAAAATTTACCATGTGAACCCTTTTTAAGTGTATAATTGAGCGACATTAATACATTCACATTGTGCTGCAACCATCAGCACCCTGCATCTCCACAACTTTTTCATCATCCCCAACTGAAACTCTGTCCCCATTGGACAATATCTTTAATTTCCCCCTCTCCTAGCCCCTGGCAACCACCATTCTATTTTCGTCTCTCTGAATTTGACTATTCTGCGTACCTCACATCAGTGGAATCATAGTATTTGTCTTTTTGTGGCTGGCTTATTTCACTCGACATCACATTCTCAAGTTTCATCCATGATGTAGCACATATCAGAATTTCCCTTTTTTAAGGCTAAATAATATTCCATTGTATGTATATATCAACATTTTATTCATCCATTCATCTGTTGACGGACATTGGGTTGCTCCTGCCTTTCAGCTATTGTAAATGACGGTGCCATGAACATGGGAGTACAAACATCTGTTTGTGTCTTTGTTTTCATTTCTTTTGGGTACATATCCAGAAGCAGAATTTCTAGATTATATGGTAATTCCATGTTTAATTTTTTGAGGAACTGCCATACTATTTTCCATAGTGGCTGTACCATTTTACATTTCTACCAGCAATGCACAAGGGTTCCAATTTCTCTGCATCCTCTTCAACATTTGTTATATTCTGATTTGTTTTTGTTTTTGTTTTTAATAATAGATATACTAATGGGTGTCAAGTGATAACTCACTGTGAATTTTTTTTTTTTTTGCATAGTCAATGTTGAAGGAGATTCCGGTTTGCCCTCATGGATTCAGGTTGTTCTCACGAGGCTCATCTTCTCCTTGCAGTTTGTCTTTGCACTTCTTCATGTCACATCCAGCTTTTCTTCTGACCTCCAGGTCTGCAAACTACGATGACCTCGGACCTGTTGCCATGTACAATGGGAATAGACTACTATCAACTTTTTTCCTACCTCCAAAATTGTATAAAGTTTAAGTCCTATCATATATCCCTTATTCCACATCATGAGTAATGGTTTTACTTTACTGATCAAATCCTAAGTGGTACACAGTTGGTATGCCTTCACTGGGAGTTGGAGTTTTGGCTATAAATTGTCCTCCTTCATCTTGATTAGCGTCCTCTGGCTAGTTCTACTTTGTCTGATATCAGGATTGCAGCTCCTGCTTTTTTAGAGTTGAGTTTTTTTATATGACCAAATTTGAAAATCTTTAATAGGCAAATTAAACCCACTTGTAAATTGATTTTCTGATATAGTTTGGTCTCAACTCTGTCATACTACTTTTTGTTATAATTACTGCATGTATTATGCAATATTTGTTGTGTTTCTTTCAGTATTTGGTATGTATTCTTTGCTATTTAAAAAAATTTTCCTTTAGGGTTTTGGAATAGGGTTTCTAATATTTCGGAATATTTATATTCTGCTTTAGTGGTTAAGTTTTTATATTTTTATATTACCCTTAATTCCTTTCTTTGCTTCTTAACCTTTACTATGTGATCTGTCCATTTTATATGGCCTCCTTTGACTCGCATCTACTACCAATTTAACATCAATGATACGACTCTGTTTTCCCATTTCTCTTTCCCTTCTCTTTCATTTGTTTTTAGTTGTACCTGTTCCACTTTATTAGACAGTATCATGTGTACATACTATTTTTCTACCAATTAAATACATGAATGTTCTCCATTGGTCATTTGGTTGTTTTCCTCAGTTGTCTCTTGGTTGGGGGAAGCTTATTCTCCAGGAAAGGCATATGATGTTCTCTGAACTTTTGCCCTCAGTTCACATCTGTTTGTTTATAGCCTTGGTCCTGGAAGGCTGGACACAAACATCCTTGGCTGGTACTTTTCTTCCTTGAGTTTCCTGTAAATGCTGCTCCACTCTGCCTTGCCTTGTATGTTCTCAAGAAGTCTGATGCCAGCTTAAATTTTCATCTCTACAAGTAATTTGATTTCTTTGTCTTTTAAATCCAACAGTTTTACTGAGATATGTTTTGGAGTTGATCATCCCAGACTAGTTTTCCAAGGTACATGGAAGGTACTTTTTTTTTTTTTTTAAAGATTTTATTTATCTTTTTTTCCTTTCTCCCCAAAGCCCCCCAGGTACATAGTTGTACATTCTTCGTTGTGGCTCCTTCTAGTTGTGGCATGTGGGATGCTGCCTCAGCGTGGTTTGATGAGCAGTGCCATGTTTGCGCCCAGGATTCGAACCAATGAAACACTGGGCCGCCTGCAGCGGAGTGCACGAACTTAACCACTCGGCCACGGGGCCAGCCCCATTTGGAAGGTACTTTTGATATATAATTTAAATTTTCTCTTATTTCTGGATTATTTTCTTGGATTATAGCTTTTTTCCCCAATTTTGTTGAGATATAACTGACATAGAACACTGCATAAGTGTAAGGTATACAGCATTATGATTTGACCAACATATATTGTAAAATGATTACCACAATAAGTTTAGTTAACATCCATCTTCTCATATAGACACACATACAACAAAGAAAAAACAGTTTGTTCCTTATGATGAGAACTCTTAGGATCTACTCTCCTAACAACTTCCAAATATACCACACAGCAGTGGTAACTACAGTCACCATGTTGAACGTTACGTCTAAGATTATAGTTTTAACATTAATTCTGTTTCACCATTTTGTGTTTCTACTTTAGGGACTCCAGTTAAATGTATTTTGGTTCTTCTTTCCAAGCTTTCATTTCAACCACTTATCTTTGAACCTTTTTTACTTCTTTCATCTTATTTTCAATTTCTTGATTATCTTGTTACCATTCTTCAGTGTCCTTTTACATATTTATATTTTAATATATTCTCCCTTGGGCACTTTGTAATTACTGTTTCTGGGATAGTTTTGTCTTTATTTTCAAATGTTTTACTGAATTTGGTCAACTCATTGCATTTCTTCCTAATTGTTGTCCAGTCTGTTCTTAGTTTTTGAGTTTCTGATTCTAGTTGTATATATGTCTGTGTATATCCAAATATACAATACTTTGTTCAGTTTGATATGTGGTGTTACAATTTTCTCCTGATTCATGGTTTTATGGAGGGGCATTTTCATCAGTTAAATGTTATGATTCAATTTTTCATTGTAAGAAATGTGATTGATTTTCTGTTTTCTTTTTGCAGTAACTTTGTATGTAACTGATTTGTTGTTGTTCTCTTACTGGGTATTTTGACACAGGTTTCCTAGTTCAAGAATATTCTCTTCTGTCTGAATACTGAAGTACAGCTTTTAATAGATAGCAGTGGCTGAGGAAGGGATTGGTTGTCTTTTATTTCTGCAGGATCTTTCATTTTCCCTTCTTAACTCCTTCGTTCTCTTGACTGCCAGGCCTCCCAAGGGCACTGTCCTTTCTCTACTTATCTGACGTTTCCGAGAAGCAAGGCTTCTTCAAGGCTGCAACTTCCTGCCCCATTCTCTTTCAAACCTCTTCCCTTCTTCAGTTAGGTAACTGGCCAGTGTTATTTTCAGTTCTTGGTGTTGGACTTTCTCTGTATAGAGGGATTTCCCCTGGGCCTCACTGAAGTCCTTGGCAACAATGGAGGGAGCTCTGTTGGAATTTGATGTCTTTTCTTTCTTCTCCTTAAAAAGTAATTTGAAGTTCAGTTCATGGCATTCCCTCTCCTACTAGCAGTGAAGGCTTGTTTATTTGTGTTTGTATTTTGTTGAGGATATGAGTAGAGATCCAGATTCAGGCAACTGCCATTATTTTCTAGACAGGGAAGCTCCTGAAATCACTTTTAAAAATATCAAGCGCTAAGTAACATTTCTTTCTTTCCTAGGACCACTGGAAACTCTGCACATTACAAGGGCATCATCAAGGTTACATAGATTCTGTTACAAGACAGATCTGTCTTCTTGCATCTTCAAAGATGTTTAGTGTGCTAACGCTTCTTCCTTTCTTAAGAAAGCAACCAATTAAAAAAAAAGATTAAAAAAATATACATATTGCCTTCCTTCTTTATTTCATGTTTATTAAAAACAAAACAACCCAGTTATTAAGCGCACCGCCCATCCTGGGAAAAATGTTCCCTTGAAAATTAGTTGTCAGTTTCTACTTCTAGAACCCCACCTCTGCCTAAATAAATAACTAAAATTGACACCTGGGAATCAAGAACGTTTTGCTGCAAGATTAGTAAGAAAACTGCGGCGAGAGGCAGCAAAGTTGGGTTCAGGAGCGGGGGTTTGCACCAAAAAACTCAGGTCGGTAGGCCAGTAAGAGCAATCCTGTTAAGGGTCTGAGGTGGTCCCAAAGCTCAAGGACTGAAGAGGTGAAAATCGCGGCCCGTCAACGCGAGGCAGCAATGACCGAGAGTGTCCCTGTGCGTGTGCACGTGAGTGTGCGCGCGCCTCTCCCGGTCCCAGGCAGCCACCTGTCACTCACGGGGGTGGAGGGGCAGCAGCGGGCGGACGCAGAGGGGGCGGGGTGGCGGCCGGGGCGGGGCGCGCCAGGCCGTCCTGGTGGAGGCCCTCCCGCGGCGGCCCTGCCGGCGGAGCCCGGCGTGCTGCAGCCATGGAGACGCAGTAATCCCTCCTCCTGCCCGCTCCCGGCTCCCGCAGCCGCCGCCGATTGGTCGCCCTTTGCTCCCTGACCCCCGAGCCGCCTCCGAGCCGCCGCTTCCTGCTAGGGCGCCGCGCGGCGCTCCCGGCCTGGGCGGAGCTCTGGGCCGAGTGCGCGCCGCCTCGCCGCCCGGAGCCGCCCGCGCCGGAGGAGGAGCCGCCGCGCCTTCCCCTTCCTCCGCTCCTCCCCGCCCGCACCCCCGCGCCCGCCCCGCCAGCACTCGCGAGCAGCGGCGGCCCCGGCCGGTGGCCGAGTCGGGAGAATGCGGCGGCGCTCGCGGATGCTGCTCTGCTTCGCCTTCCTGTGGGTGCTGGGCATCGCCTACTACATGTACTCGGGGGGCGGCTCCGCGCTGGCCGCGGGCGCGGGCGGCGGCGCCGGCAGGAAGGTGAGTGGGGCGCCCTGCCCGTCCCGGCCCCCCCGAAACCCCGACTTCTCCAAGCGCCGCGGGCCCTCCCGGTGCCGACGCGCCCCCGCCTCGCCGCAGACCCCCTCGCTCCGACGGGGCTGCGGGGACCGAAGGGACTCCCCGCCTCCCCTGCTCTCTTCTGCCCGGACCTCTGCTCGGCCCCCCGACCCCAGCCCGGGCCTCCTAGCCGAGTCTCCAGGGCAGGGGTGCACCCGGCCCCTCCGCGCTCGCCGGGCTTGGGAGGGGGCGACCCGGCGCAGCCCCGCAGGGCTGGGCACCGTGACGCCCTCTTTGTCGCCCCTCGTCCCTCTCCCCGCTCTCTTTCCTACGTCATTTAAGTTGGTCCGGCGTCCGGGAGCCCATCCCCTGCGGTGGGAAGTTTAGGGTTAGGGGTGTTGGGAAACACAAAAGGAGGTGGGGAGGAGCCGGGGGAGAGGCGGCTGCCTTCCCTGCGAGAGAAGAATCCAAGTTTCTTTTCAGCCCTTTGATACAGCCGCTGCAGATCCTCACCTCCTTCCCCCTTGTCACCTCGTGGCCGGGAGGGGACTCTGCTCATTACCTCTGGGGGCGTGGGCGCAGCCAGCCCGGTGCCGGATAAAACGGACTCCCCTGGGCCGGTGTAAGCGGTGCCCCTGCGCCCCAAGCGAGGCCGGCCACGGAAAGCGCCCTCCCACCCTTCCTCGCGGCCCCACGTACGCTTTGCCGGTCGGCCAGGCCCCCGCGCTGCCCGACGTGGGCTCTTGCCCTTGGCCTTCCCAGTCCCACGCGCCGTCACGCGGGTATAGTCTCTCTTCTGTGAGTGTGTTTCACAGGCTTCAGGCCCGAGTGATTAGGCCGTGGGACCGTGTAAGCCACTCCGGATGGCCCGGGGTATTCGGGAGGAAGCAGAGCGCCCGGAGGAGCCCGACGGCGCATCCTGTGGCCGTGCGCCAGCCGCGGGAGGGGGCTTCGGGCTGTGCACACGCTGCCCGGCGTGTTTGTGGCTTGTGGTGCTAATAGGCTGTGAAAGCAACGTTATCTTTTCCGAAATCCTGTAGTCCCTATACTGTGAGGTTTAGTGATACTGCACCCCCCCGGAAATTCTGAGTTAATGGAGGTGGACCACGGGTTGGGCTGGAACCAGAGAATGTATCCTGGAATAAGCCTGAGGGGACTAACTGTACGCGAACAGATTTAAACCCTGAAGTTGGACGGTAAATGTCAACGCTACTTGAGGTTTGGCTGCTTCAGAGGATTCCTTCCTTCCGTTCTCCCTTCCTTCATTCATCCTTTGATTCTCAGCTGAAGGTATTAGATGGACCTAGGTGTCTCATTTGATTCTTGGTATTTCATGGGTTTGTTTTCTCTAGAGGGCCAGAAGTGAAAAGTCTTCCCATGTGCTGAATTGGCTTGGTTCTGAACTGACCATGCACTCTTAGCCCTTTTTTTTTTTTTTTTTTGAGGAAGATTAGCCCTGAGCTAACATCTGCTGCCAATCCTCCTCTTTTTGCTGAGGAAGACTGGCCCTGAGCTAACATCCGTGCTCATCTTCCTCTACTTTATATGTGGGATGCCTGCCACAGCACGGTTTGCCAAGCGGTGCCATGTCCACACCTGGGATCTGAACCAGCAAACCCTGGGCCGCCGAAGCGGAACGTGCGCACTTAACTGCTCTGCCACCAGGCAGGCCCTGGAATTATTTTTAAAACTTTGCTTCTCATTAAACTGCGCTTTGGCCAGTCGACGTAGTCTGGTGTGCTGACGAGGACTGGGCAAAGCTTTCTGCCTTCATGCAGAGAAAACCCAAACAGGCCGCACTTGGTATTTCTCCTTCCTTGATTTGTGCTGTCATTAGTAAGGGTGATTAGAAACAGCAACATTATGGCTTTAGCATTTGGAGAGGCTGGTTTCTCCTTTGTGGATTTCAGCTGGTGGATGATTTTTGAGGGGTCTTCCATGTTAACTTCTGAAGTGCGATCCTTAGTATAAGAAAAAATAAGCTGGGAACTCCTTGTGACCTCCTGGCACAGAGTCTCAAAGACTCTGTCACAGAGACTCTGTAGGAGAAAATGTGGGAAATGAAGAATTAGACATGGGTTGGTAATTTGGGATCCTGTTCTGTCTGTCAGTGAACCATAAAATTTAATCCTAGCCCTTAGAGAGGTTTAGCGATTTGTTGGTTGAGGAAGAGGTGTGCAGAACAATAGCTTTTGAGATTGTAGTAGATGACCCACTCCCTTAGTGTTGCAGACCCTAATGTGAAGAATAGAAACCCTGACCACGTTTCTGGAGGGGTGCTGTCCTGAATTTCCTAACTTGGAGTATAAAGCTGGATTGTCTTCTTTCTCCTAAATTGTTTCCATGGATTTAGAGACTAGAAAGTCTCTTCAAATTTAGTTCATCTTCATGATAAAAGGAAACACGTAGTTTTTCCAGCTTGTAAAGTATGAACATAAAGATAATGTGGTATGCATGTGAAAGCATAATTTAAATACTAGCTGTAGTTTTTTAGATGTCATTGGACTTATATTTCTTCTCTTGTTTCACACTGTTCAAGTCAAGACTCTAATTCCGTATTTAGCCAATTTCTCTCTGCCCTGATGTTTTCCACAGGGTACCAGGCTTCTGTATTAGGCTTTGGGGAATTGTCTGACAGGAGGCTGACTAGTATTTCTGCTGCTTCAGCAACCCAGTCCTACTCTCACTGTGTGCCCTGCCTGTTAAATAAGTCGTCTCAGGACTGTTATTCTCCATTTGGCAAAACCCAGAAAGCCAACTCACCTCAGATTGCAGATTTAATAAACTAAACAGGAGCAGGTGCTGCAAACCAACTCAGGCATTGCTGTGCAGCTCTGGACTCAAGGCTGAGGTTCCAGGTGTGTGGTCAATCAATTTATGCATCATATTGTTTAAAATTATATCTCATTTACATTTGTATAGATCCCTCCCTTCCCCCACATTGTGCTCTTTCCCCCTAAATTGATGATTTGCACTTCAAGGATGCCTTTCCTTTGAGCATCTTATAATGCTTTAACATTTTAATCCTGTTAAGTCTCCCCTGGGCCTTGGTATGTTGGCAGTGGATGGAGCCACGGAAGAGAGGAAGGAATTTCTGTTGAAATGAACCTGCCTCTGGGTAAAGAATGGCTGTTTAGGATGAAAGGCAAGGGTTTTTCCAGTTTGTGAAGAATGATCGCTACTGAACGAGAACTTGTCAAGCCCAAGACCCCTTGTCTCTGCTTCCCACTTGCTTGGGAGGTGAGGGAAAGCGTTAGCTGAAGGACATGACCAAGGGCCCGGGCAGCCTGTTCACTTTCCACCACCTTCCTGGATGCGCGGGCACACGTGCCGCAGCCCTGCTCTGGGGGTCCCAGGGTGGGAGCTTTGGGCGTGATCTTGTAAATGGCATTCAGGGGGAGGATCTGGGGGAGGAGGGTGGGCCTCTTCTTGGAATGGTGAGGGGCCTCACTTGGCTGGAGCATGTACGTGTGTAGTGAAGGTGAGGATGGAAAAGTGGAGGAGGAGTTTGGGACTAAATTGTAGAGGGCTTCAAATGCCACGCTGACTTGTTGCGTCTTAATTTGGTTGATCATACGGAACCAGTAATGTTTTTTGAGCTGGGTAGTAGACATTCAAGTGAAGGGGAATGGCATGAATCCATTTATTGGGACTGAGTAAGACTTAACTTTCTACTCCTTTCTGCTTAGTGACCTTTTCTAATTTACTGTCCCTCTCTGGGCCTCAGTTTCCTCATCTTTACAGTGGGGATAATCATTCTTACCTTGTGGCTGAGACCTAAAAGCCATTAGTAGGTGCTGGCAAATAGTAAGTGCTGAATAAATGGTATCTGGGGGGAAAAAAAGAAAAGCCTAAATATCCCCTGGAAAATATTGTGAACCAGGAATCTTTTTTTTTTTTTTTTGAGGAAGATTAGCCCTGATCTAAGTACTGCCAATCCTCGTCTTTTTGCTGAGGAAGCCTGGCCCTGAGCTAGCATCCGTGCCCATCTTCCTCCACTTTATACGTGGGACGCCTACCACAGCATGGTGTGCCAAGCAGTGCCATGTCCACACCCGGAATCTGAATGGGCAAACCACAGGTCTCCGAGAAGTGGAACGTGTGCACTTAACCGCTGCGCCACCGAGCCAGCCCCAAACTGGCCCCGAACCAGGAATCTTAAGTGTTGTTGTGGTCTCTGGAAAATTATTGGTGTTTTTACTTTTGTGTCCTTCATCCATTTCTCCAAGATTGATTTGGTTGTTCATTTGGGCTTGCACTATGAACCTTGAATGACATTAAAGACTACCTTTTGGGAAAGTGGTTCAGACAGCATGCCACTTCTCTCATACCTAGCTGTGGTGTCAGAGTGGGGTTCCTGTCAGTGGGCAGCCAGCAGGAAAGTGGCAGAGGACAAACCTTTCTTTGGTAGTTGTGTAAACAGTCAAAGTGTTGCTCGTGGACATGTTCCTAAGTGGAGGTTTCCTGTGGTGATGAGGCCCGCCCGCTCCCCACCCAGGCTCTGGGCTCCCCTGCTCCACCACTGCAACCTGGTTTCTCCTGGCAGGAGGGGAGATGGCCGTCATCACTCAAGTGTACATGGTTTGAGGTTGAACCTGAGGCCAACACACACTTTAATGGGTGTCAGCGTATCTCTGAGCATCTCTTTGGGTGGATGCAAAGTGGAGGAGACCCATACCACACCCCGCCACCTATAATCAGTTTGGAGTTTAAAGAAATTTCTTTTGAGATGAGAGTTTGAAGTTGAGGTAGGGACGACAGTAGCAGTGGGAAAGATCGTCCAACCAGAGAATCTGACAAATGGCATTGTGATATAAACTTTTCTCTAAAAAAATAAACTTTCTCTATTCTGGAGTTATGTTGTGGTTGCCTCCGGGTGCTCAAACATAACGGAAACAGATTGTGACTGATAAACAGCGCAAAAATAATGAGCTCTTCCCTGGACCCTCTAGCAAAAACGATAAAGAAGCTGCTGTACCCAGCGCAGAGACCCAGCGTGGAGCGGGGTCAGCCTGCTCATGCTCTGTCAGACCTTGTTGGGGCTGGCAGGGGAGACCCAGGAAGCTGTTAATGTTGTGTGGAGGCTTTCGGCCATCTGTTAAATCCCTTTGGTCTCTCCACCCTCCTGGTGAGTGGTAGGTCTCCTGTTTGGATCAGAGGAAGAGGTGTTTGAAAGGTGGTCAGAAAAATGGTTGGGCAGGGGGAGACATACGTATACATATATAATTTCTTGTTGCTGCCATTCATGTTTCGCAGATCTTTGAGGAGAGGGAAGTCAGTCTGGGAACACGTCCATTTCAAAGCAGGCAGTGCTGTGCTACCTAACTTCTAGTGAATCCAGAGGCAGTTGGTGTAGTGGAAGGAGGGAGCTAGGGGTGAGACTGCCTGGGGCAGAGATGAGGGCACACACAGGGACTGCCTGTGAGGGTCTGGCTGAGATCCCAGGAAGGAGGCAAGGTATTTCTGGGAAAAATCTGTGAAGTCTCCTAGCTGGCCCAGCCAAATTCATGGGATGAGAAAAGAGCCAAACCTTTCCCAAGCCTAATCCCCTTTTTTGTTCTTCTGCTTTTCTCTGCATGAACTGTGTTCTGGAAGCTGTGTTTGCATGGATGATGCCGAGACATCAAGCCAGATGGATGTCCAGCTGGAAACACACCCATACAGCTATGTGACACAGATTAAAATACTGAGATACTTCCCTTATCAGTTGTTAAATAAATGCCACTCTCTCATGACCCCCACCTGCCCTGGTTTTCCCTTGGGATCCATTTTCCATCATCAGCAATGAAAGAGTTGAAACCTCCTACTGCAGGGGCCTCTTGGACCCTGCTTCCGTGCTTGTGTCTCAGAGGTGCTTAAACAGGTTGAGGAGCCAGCCCAGTGGTGCAGTGATTAAGTTCGCATGTTTCGCTTCAGCGGTGCGGGGTTCTCCAGTTCGGATCCCGGGTGCGGACATGGCACCGCTTGGCAGGCCATGCTGTGGCAGGCGTCCCACATATAAAGTAGAGGAAGATGGGCACAGATGTTAGCTCAGGGCCAGTCTTCCTCAGCAAAAGGAGGAAGATTGGCAGCAGATGTTACCACAGGGCTAATCTTCCTCAAAAAAAAAACTCCAAAACAAAAAAACACGTTGAGCGTCACTCCTGTGAATGTATCACTTGGATCGAAGGAGATGTTGGCCTGGTCTTGCTTCCATGACCTGAAAGATCATCTTTCCCCTTGAGGAAGTCTGATTCTGTGTTGCTCTTGGAGATCCTTGTTGCACTATTGTGGCCTTGGATCCTTGCCTCCAGACTGCCTTATTGGTGAGGTTTCTGAAGGAAGACCTTTTGGCACTTCCATAAGCAAGCCCTCCTGCATGAGTTCCGGGATAGGCTGGGCCTAACAAGAAACTCTCCTCTATTGAGAAGTAGATTGAATGTATTGGTACAAGTGCTGCAGTGGACACTCATGCCCTCGGAGTAGAACTTGACCTCGCTCTTTTAACCGCTGTGAGGGTTCTCTGGCCTTTGGCCATGTGCTTGACCTTAGGGATTAACCCCAGGTGTGGAGGTGCCAGGACTGCCTGTCCAATTTCCTGGTCCAGTCAGGAGAGCCTCCCTCACCTTTCTCCTTTCTGACCATGTGCCCATTTCTAGGGAATAAAAAACTGGGCTCAAGGAGCTGACAAGTCCTTCCCCGTCAGGTCACCTCCTCCTCTCCCATGTCCCTTGCCCTAGGCAGGCGGATCTGTGTTCCTGTTCTCACTCTGCCTCCTGCAGGACTGGGTGAAAACACGAGGCATTTTTGCACTTAGTCATGTCCAGTATCATGGGCCTGGGAAGCATGTGTTGTTTTATACAGATTGGGTCTCTTAGCATGCTGGAATGTGGACGGCTGTGATTCATCAGGGCTGCATTTGGAAAACCAGAAATGGTCACATAGAGTCTCGCTCCTGGGCTTACGTTGGAAAAGCTTTCCCGGGCTTTGGGATCTTGGTGCCCCGTGTCTTCTGGGGCCAGCTGTCATGAAGCAGCAGCTGAGGGGTGGCTGCCTGGGGACATGAAGTGGCCTGCCCTTGGGGTGCCCGCCCTGGTGGATTGTTCCTTTCACCTCTGTACTCCTAGGAGTGTCTCCCAGGCCCCTCTTGCTGGCCACCCGGTCCTGCCTAGGCTAGTGGCTTTCTGCCTGGTGACTCTTTGGGAGGAGGAATGGGCAGGACAGCTGGGATAGAGTTGCTGAATTTCTAGACCCAAATCAGGACATGTGTTTTGACAGGGACAAGGGTACGTGATGGGTGGTGGTCGCTCTCTTTCAGGGTTTCTCAGCGTCGACACAGTCGACATCTTGAGCTGGATAATCTTGGTGGTGTGGGGCTGCTGCGTGCATTGTAGGATGTTTGCGGCTTCCCCGGCCTCCCCCCACTGGATGCTAGTGGTACCCCTCCCTCAGTTGTAACAACCAACAGTGTCCACAGGTGTTGCCAAGTGTTCCTGGGGCCAGAATCACCCCCGATTGAGAACCGCCGCCGTAGTCAATGTTAACTTTGATTTCTTTTCTTCTCCCTATTTTCTGGTTAGACCTTCACGAAACAGGCCTGCCTGTCTGTGTGGTCTGGGGTGGACTCCTGGGAAAGAGTGTTAACTTAATAGACACTTACTCTGTTAGTGCCCACTGTGTGCCAGGCATGGCTCTGATGCTTCACAGATATTGACTCATTTACTCCTCAATAACAGCTTTTTATTGCTCCCATTTTGCTGCTGAAACTGAAGCACACAGAAGTTAAGTAACTTTACCAAGGTCGCAGAGGCAGTGGGTGGCAGACCCAGGTTTGTCTGGTGGGAGAAATCTCTCTGGGCCTCTGGGTTCATCCACAGCCCAGGGCCCACCGCGGGGGACGTAGCCTGCTCTTGATTCCTGGGCTTGGCATGCCCCTTCCACGCTCTGGCCGTCCCCTTGTTCTGCTGCATTGTGTTGGAACCTTCTTGGAAGGCATTTTGGAGCCTATGCACACGGTAATGCTCTGATGGTAGTGTCAGTCTATTTTACTCTTTTTTCACTTTTACCTTTTGCTCTGTGAAATGTTTTGTATGTTCTTATCCTTCAGGCCTCTGACTGTCCTGAAGACGGCAGCCCTCAATTCCTCCTCCAGCAGGAGCAGACAGGAGAACAGGCTCTGGTCCCTTTCATTCATTCTTTCAATGAGTGTTTCTTGAGCACCTATGATGTGCAAATTCTCAGTACTTGAGTATTTGGGAATTCACAGGGAGTATAACGCACCGAATCCTTGTGCTTGTGGGACATTCATTCTGGGGGCAGGGAAGTTAGACAAAAATGTGATAGGCAAGTATAAATTATATAGTGTGAGAAAGGGGGCTAAGTGCTTTGGAGAAAATAGGGCAGGTAAGGGGATTAGGAATTGGGTGGAGGCATGGGTTGCAGTGTTAAATGGGTGGCCCTGTAGGCTCAGTGGGGAGGTGAGATTTGAGCAGATTCAAGCCGAGACTTGAAGCAGGTGTCTTTTTGGCTCACTGTGCTTCAAATGCAGCCCTGGTGTCAGCCGTGTCCAGCCTTTTTGGTGATCTCTCTACTTCTTGGTTTCTTTTGCTAAATAAATGAGCCAGTTTTCTTTCCAAAGGTGGTTGTCTTTGGTTTGTGTCAGTGGTGGAGTCTCCTCCATCATGTGGAAATCTCGGCTCTTCTCCTGGTTTCATATGGTGTCTTGGGTGATGTGTATACTCATCCTAGTGAAAATGGTGTTCACACTCCCATGCCCCCTTCTTGCCCCATGGGCCTGGGACTGCTTTAGGTCCCTGCGGGTTAATTTGCTCATTGACTTAGAATGTACTTACGGAACAATCTTGTTGCTTGATTTCTGAGCTGCTCTCTGTGAAGTGCTAAATTGGATTGGGAAAGCACTCACTGTCTGCTGTTAGGCCACCATTAAATCGCATCACACATTTGTGGAACACTTTCCACACACGTTATCGCGTAATGAGAAATCCTTGCTGGTCCCTTTGCACCTGCTCCCGCACAGGATTTCCACTGTGATGTCATCTTGGCGAGTTGCTGTGGGTGATGGGGCATTGTTGATTCTCGTCTGCAGGAAACCAGTGGTCAGAAGTCTCCCTGGTACCTGGGCTTTGGAGAGGTTGTTCTTGGCAGTGTGGGTAATGTTGAGGCTCTGTGATCTATAGTATTTGTGGAAGATAAAGTGGACATGTGACTTCATTCTCCACAGCCACTTGAGGGAAGTGGAATGGTGGGAAATTGCAGGTCCTCCTGGCTCTCAAGTGAGAGCATCCGGCTGCTTTTCATAGAGGCCACTGGCATTTATGAGGGGTCTGTTAGATGCTTTATGGGATTATGTACCATGCCTCCAGTGTGTACCTGGATAAAACAACTGGAACATTTACATGGCGGCAAAGAAAAGTTAAGTTTAAAGGCTTCAGACTCAAGAGCAGCTGTTCAGGTTTCCTCCTCTCTGCTTCACAGGCTAGTCCAGGGAGTGAATTCTTTTTCCTGAAAGCCCACTGCTCCAGAAAGATGACACACTTCAATTGAAGGGTCTTTCTTTCTTAGCTGAATCACCCTGTGAGAGATTGAGGAGCTGATGCAAATTAAAGGCCTGTGTTTTGGAGATGCCCATAAATTAAGCACTCTGTTATCAAGATTTGGTAAGTGGGGTGACTCTTGCATTGGGGGCTTATATGGCTGTCCTGGATGATGAGCTGGTTGGCCCAGCATGGAGTGCCTTCATGTCTCATTGTCTTGGTCTTTCCTGCCTCAAGGGCTTTCCCACTGACCTAGATTTTGAGCTTTTGCTCTGTGACCTTCAAAGTCATATTCCCTTTTCCTCCCGTTCCACCTGCCACCCTCACCCTTCCCTATTCCTCTGTGCCAGTAAGCTCACCCACTTGTTTTTCTTCCTGTCTCACAGTTGGTGATCACTGATTTCCCCTGTGTCTGGAATATACCCTTTTTCATCAAATCTAAGATGCTGTTATTCGTAAAACCATTATTTTATGTACCACTAGGAAAGAAGAAACACTGTCCATTGAACTGTGACACGATGGTTTCTTATCAGTTAACATTTTTATTTTCTACTTATTTAAAGAACACCTTTAGACTTAATTAGACATCGATTTTTCTATTTATCACTCTTGAGCACAGGTCAAAAGGAAAATACACATGAAATACATTGGGTAAGGTGTTCCTAACTTTTTCAGTGTCCACTTTTTGACGCAGAGATGTTAGTGCCTCTTTTCCTCAGACAGAATCATCCTCTGTGCTACCAAAGTCTTTGGTGGATGCAGCATTTCCTTAAATAAAACCTGTAAAAGTGCTAAGAGCCCTTGGTTCTGGGTGCTTAACATAGCTTGGCGATTGTGAAGAGTTAGTCAACTTTGGACTCTTCTGGGGATTTTGCCTAACTACCCCAGTCACCATCCATTCCTATCCCACTCTATTTGGTTTCTGGGGATTGTGAGTGTTTTATTGTTGTTTCTGGAACTTTCCTACAGGCCACTGACATGCATTCTGAAGACTTCATTGCTAGTGTGTTGTATGTTTGAGTGTGTGCTGGTAATGACAGGTGCATCATGGTCCTTGCCTGGCCCACAGCACCATAAGGTGTCATTCATTGTGAGATGCATCCTAATTTCATGTTAAACTGTGAAAAAAAGTACGTCTTAGAATTGATGAGTTATGGTCTTTTTCCCGTGTGTCCAATTATTTACCTTTCTGAGAACGCAGCTCCAGGCCTCCTGTCCTTGATAAAGGAAAATAGTAGCCCCTATTGGACTGTGTACATCTGCATCTGTTCGCTCCTGCTTCCCAGAGTCTCTGTGAAGAGAAGGACTTCCTACTTACCGTTTTTGAGAGATGAGTAGCTGATGAGCATGAACCCATTCAGAAACATTTTTGAGCATTTTCTATCTACAAGTTCCCCTGCTGAGTGCTGAATGACCAAATATGTATTTCGTATAAATTACAACATCACAGTCAGTAGAGATGTACATCAGCCTCATGCATCTTCTGTAGTTTAGGAATATCCAGTGGTGATTCTTTTTAAAGATTGCTTCACACGTTGCCTGAGATCCTGAATTCTCACCTGTGTTACCAGGAAGCTATTCTTACATTTGGTGCCATTTCTTCTGGAAGAATTATCTAAGTTCTTTGGAAGTTGCTCCTTCTGCTGAGCCTTTGGTGGTGGAGTATCAGTTTCGGTGCACGTGAGATCACTGACATTTAGGCAGACTGCTCAGCAGCCCGGAGACCCTGTCATTCAGCAGAGTTTGGTGTAGATGTTTTATTGTGTTGATTGCCTCTTTCTCGTTTGACAGGCACCTGGAGGGCAGACTCCATGTCTCTGTGTTGAGTCTTCCGCCAACTTTGTCACTCCTCCTAGGCAGTGTGGTCCATTAGGAGCTGTGGCTGACTTGGGAAGCCATGGTGGGAGACCTCTAATAAATAGTTATTATTCCTTCTTGTTTCTCCAACAGGATGTTATTGCTAAAGCCTCAGATTATTACATTGTATTTATAAATGAGAGATTTTTGACAAATATACGATACTGTGTATTTTCTGTAAGTTATAATTCCTGATACTTGAAATTCATATCAGCCTTGTGGCCGAAGCACTTTAGAGCCATCGCTCATTTTCCCTCATTTCAGCGTGCCTGGAAGCATGTCAGGAGCTGGTTTCTTCCCCATTCACAGAAGAAGTTTCCAGTGGACCCCAAGGTTATGAACTTGCCCCAGGGGTCATGCAGTAGCAGAGTTGGGGCTGGAATTTTAATCTTTCCCTAACTACCTAATACAGGGCTTTGAAAAAAATCTGCTGGGGCTCTCCTGGTCTTCGAGTTGTAGGCCCTGAATCATCAACAAGTTACAAATAGTGGGTTCTTCTCTTGATGCACGACTGCAACTGCAGGCCTGGAAGGTGCTGATTACTGGGGCTGGTGATCTTCTCCTTAACCCTTGTTATTGCAGACTGCTGATGTGGATGAGCGAGGAGGGAAGGCTGCAGTCTGGGTTCTTGGGTGGTCTGTGCTCCAGGCCTGAGGCTGGTATCATGAGAGGGACATAGTTGTGGCCGTCTGGGACTCATGAAGGGGCTCGTGGATCATGGAGGCACGTGGGGCCTCATGTGGACATCCCTGCGTAGAGGGCTGCTGAAGCTCATCCTCCCTCTGTACTTCAGTAACTTAGGAGGCCTCGTGCCAGTCTGCCAGTCTATGTCAGTAAATAACATGGGTCAGTAACATTGACCTTGGAAGATGTCTCTCTTGTTTTCAAAAGAAAAGGAAAGTAGGTGAAGTTTCCCCCATCCCTGGGGATAAGATCTGACCTGGCAGATGTCAGTTTTGCAGTAGTGTTTGTACTCAAGACATGGTTTTTAGTTTAAAGAGTTTTTCTCACTGACCAGTAGAGAGCACATGGTGGTGTTTTGCCTGTACTGGCCCCAGAAGGGTATTTCTGATGATCTAGTTTTTCACTCCAGCATTGGAAAGCACTAAGCGTCCTTATCAACTGCATCACAGGTGTTTTAAAGCAAAACTCTCTTCAGTACTGAGAGTTTATTTTAGGTTTCTGCAGAGGGGAGGAGGCTTCTGGGAGAGCTGGTGTGTGCTCGGGGTCTGAGTTGCTTGCAGAGCTCTGAGTCCAGTTGACCCAGGCTCCATGTGGGGCTAGGAGTGATATCCAAGCGGTGGTTGCTCTGCCTTCCTGGCCGCCACTGCGCTGGTGTGTGTGTGAGGGGCCAGTCTCAGCGGTTGCCAGGGCAGCTCAGTACACCCATGTTGGGGCTTCATTGGGGCATTTGGAAGCTGTCTTGCCTGTTCCTGGCTGGGCTTGTGAGTCTGCCAGGAAGAGCCCAGGACGATTGTGCAGGGAAGCCCTTGGCAGGCAGCTGGCTCTGGGGTGACACGGCTGGGGGATGCATGGCACAGGGCTACCAGCCTGGGTTGGAATTTTGGCTTCTCCAGTTAGCTCTGTAAACTCAGGCAAAGTTTCTTAACCCCTCTGTGCCTCAATCTCCTCATTTACCTATTTCACAGCGTTGTTCAATGAAGAGTAAATCAAATTGGGACTGGTCCATGTGTAGTAAGCCCCAGCTGCTAGTGGATGTGAACTCTCGTGTTATTTGAGCGAGAGGCGCGGGTGCCCCTAACTGAGGGGGCTGCTGTCCTTCGTGGTTGACCCTCATGAGCCCGGGGCTCCTGTTCCACCTGCAGCCAGCCTCCCTCTGCCGTGTGTGAGTGAGCCCGCCACTGCCCCAGAAGCACCTCCACCTCCATGCACCTTGCCTGGGCCCTTTGTCTTAGAAGGGGAGTGAGGATAAGAGGGACTCAAGCAGCCCTTGCTCCTCCTCGGTGAGGAAACTGAGCCTCAGAGAAGGGGGTGAGCTGGTTAGGGTCCCCGGGCAGCCACGGGGAGCATGGGGTGGATCATCGGTCCGCTGGAGGAGGAGGCAGGAAGCTGTAGGCCAGAACCATCTCGCCAGTGTGGTTACCACGAGATTATTGCCCAATTTTACCCCTTAATCTCTTGTAACTTGTCTTTGAAAATTATACCAGGATGTGGTTTTTAACTAGGTGACTATATAATTAATTTTTAAACTCTAATCGGCAATTGATTTTTTCAATATCTTGAGCTGTAATCTGAATACAGCATGTTATTTGAAAACGTTTCCACAAGGTTTTAATTAGTAAAGCTTCTTTCAGTTTCATTAGTTCAGTTTCTGGCTTGCTCTTGAAACTGTGGGTGAGCAACAAGTGGAAGACAAATTAATAATTGTGGCAATGCAACAGAGCCCCCCTGTGAGGGCTGAGGACGGGTTCTGTCAGTTAGCATGGTGTGGGTGTGGTTTCTCTGATGCCTCTAGTTAAGACAACTTGGAACTCCATTGCAGATTAATAGATGTATTGTGTGATGATTTCAAGGAAGAAGAATCCATGTAAAACCCTGCACGTTTGCTATGATAATTCAAAGAGCATGGCTATGACAAGAGACCCGGTTCAAATCCTGCTTTCCTGCTTATAAGCCTCCGTTTCCTCATCTGTGAAAAGGAAGTTGATGGAAATTAATGAGATGATGGAGATGATGGAGATGCAGTTTAGTGAGGGCTTACCTTTATTTTTATTGGCACATGTGCTCAGTCTCCTTTCCCACAGATGCTTCTGGGGCCGACTCTGGGGAGCCTTCTCTGATGGAGAGGGGCTTACTTGGAGCAGGTGTGTGGGTTGAGGGTGGTGTCGTGGTGTGAATCTTTGGACTAGGATGTAAATTATGTCAGAACCCTGGGGAGGGAAGCTTTCCCTTCCTTTGTGGTATGTCTCCCTCTCTGGGGCCATATGAAATCACTGTGGACCTGGGAAGCCGCTTGTTTTTGTTTAAGGTGAAGCTGTGGTGCTGAGGCCAGAAGTGTCATGTTTGGGTTAGATTTTAAGATACTGTATTTGGTCAAAGTGCATCTATGTTCCCAGTGTCACCGAGAACGAAGCGGACCTAATGGATTAGTGTGTGTGATGGAGTGAGCTGATAGGCTGTAATTTCATGGGTCTGGCCTCAGGTCCTGCCTTTTCACCTCCACAGACATTCAGGCAGGTCATCTCCTCCCAAGACCCCCAGAGCTGCCCTCACTCCCCACCCCCTGTGAGATCCCCCGGTGCTCC